GTTACATCCTCAAAAAGTCTCTGTTGTGCTCTATAGGCAGAGGGAATCATATTTTTTCAAAAAATTAAGCCATAATGTTACAGTCAATGGGGAATGCTATAAAGCCATGATGAATGTCTTTTTTGTATCTTAATTGGAGGATGTTGATGTGGACAATCTTTGGTTCCAACAAAACGGCGCTACAGCTATTGAAGTAATTAATTTATTGGAGGAAATGGTGGGGAGCGCATAATCTCGAGTCAAGGTTCTGTAGCCCTAGACTTTTAACGCATTAGAAGAGATTAGATAATGCTCCGGTTATTGCTGACATACGGTCCCAATTGCTGTAAAAAGTGGGCGAAAGTTTACCCTTGTCCGAAATCATTTTTAAAAGATAATGGCAAACCTTTATCTTTATAATAAAGCTAAAGTCTTGGCCATATCAACACCATCAATTACAGGTTGGTTGAAAAGTGTCTGCTCTCACCAAGAAAAAGCACTACTAGCTGCAAATATATTTTTTCTCAAGTTGGTACATCTGTCGTGAGAACACATGCAAAGTTACAAGTCATTCTAGCAATTAATTCTTTGTTTACAAGTCATTTGAAGTTGACGTGTCAGAGTATTTTTTAATATGGAAAAATTGAATATCGCGAAGTCATTATATTCTTTGTTTTGAAAGGTTTAAATGCAAAGGAAATTTGTGAACAATTGTTAGAAGTGTATAAGGAGTCTTCATTTTCCAAACGCACCGTTGAATTTTGGGCTGGTGAATTTAAACATGGCTATGCTAGGCTTGAAGACGATCCACTCGAAAGACGACCAAAAATCGCAACCACACAAGAAATCATTGAGTTCATAATATTGTAAGTGAAGATCCAAGTTTGACTAAGCGGGAAATTGCTAATGCATATTTTACATGGAGAATTACAAATTAAAAGGCTGTTTGGAAAGTTTTTCTAAGCCTATGTGGAGCGTTTTAAGTAGAATAAAAACGATTTCTTGCGTCGTTTTATAACTATGGATGAGACTTGGATCTACCACCATGATCCAAAATTGAAATAAGAACGTTTACAGTGGACTGAAGCTGGTTGTTCAGCTCCAAAGTAGGTAAAGTCACAACGATCAGCAAAAAAGCTTATGGCATCAGTTGGGATACAAAAGGAATTTCGTTGATTGATTATCTGCAGAGAGGTAAAAATATAAACACTGAACATTATTGCAGCCTTTTGGATCAGCTGGATGAAAGAATTCGTGAGAAAAGACCTGGTAATTTTTCATCAAGACAATGCACCTGCTCACAAAGGTGTTCTAGCAATGACAAAATTCAACAAATTAAAGTACGAATTGCTTAAGCATCCATCGTATTCACCAGATTTGGCTCGTAGTGACTACTACCTCTTCAGAAACCTGAAACAATTCCTTCGTGGAAGGCGTATTTCGTATTTCATCTAGAAGACGCTATTACAGCCGTAGACGGGTATTTTGCATAGCTTCCGGAAAGTCATTATAGGGATGTCATAAAATTATTGTAGGATCATTGGAATAAATGTATTGAAGTTAAGGGAGATTATATTGAATTAAAAAAAATATTTCGTACCAAAAACAGTATATTTTCATTTTGAGCGCAGACACCCCATGCCTAAAAAACATTATTTATAAGTTAATTGCTTTAAATATTATACGTTATTTATATGGCAGAAAAGATTCGCATTTCAAAAAAGTACTTTTTTTTTGTTTATGATCTTAAATTCTAGTGGTCCAAGAAACCAGTCAGAGTGCTTTTGTTATTAAAAGCTGATGATGAATTTTGAATTTATTTTTATTACTTTTCTAGAAGTTTATGCCCCCGTGCTTGATTCAAATAAAATTTGGTTCCTGGCATTCCAAATAACTTGCGGTTTGGTACCTTCAATACATTTATTAATGTTAATGAGTTTACATTTCCATCTCGAGAATCATAGATAATCTTCATATGTTGGTGAAAACATAATTTTATATTAATTTTTTTCAATCCCGACTTTTTTTTTGCATATTCGTATAAACTGTTAATTTTTTAACCGAGATATCTTACCACCTTTTCGTTATAATTGCAGAGAGTAATGGAAAAAAATCTTCTATGAAAAACAAGCGTGTTCGCACAATATTCACTCCCGAACAGCTTGAGCGATTAGAAGCTGAATTCGAGCGGCAACAGTATATGGTCGGTCCGGAGCGACTTTACCTAGCACACACTCTACAGCTGACAGAAGCACAGGTGAAGGTGTGGTTCCAGAATCGACGCATTAAGTGGCGAAAACATCATTTGGAAATCACACAACAACGACTCGCTCTCCTACGGCAAACGCAATTGCCGGGTACAGCGGAGAACTTGAGCGCTGGTATTGCTGTTGGGACACCTATATTGGCCAATAGTGGCATTCCGAATGCCAACACCATGAATTCAGCCAACGATGCGCGAACTTCGTCTCCGATTAGTTGTGGTGTTGAAGATCCCGATGAGCTTAGTAAGCAAGGTGAGGAATTTCATTCTTTAAGCCGTGGAAGTCACTCAAGTTCGGAATCGGATCTCTCGATATGTAATGATTCCATTGATGCCGGCAGTGCGGTGGGAGGTATAGAGGATACATAAGACATGTGATTCGGCACCCGTTGGAGGCTGTATATATTAACTATTAAATATTGAATTACCCGTATAGCTTAGAATATAAAATATGTATGCATAATGCTCGTATTTAAAGGTTTGCGAAAATGTAGTGAAACTGTTGTGTTGTTTTGTTTTTCTAAAACATTTTCGAATGGATATTAAATAAATAAACATATATTTTGTAAATAAAGTAATTTAATGAAAGCAGAATATACTTAAAAAAATAATTATAATGTATGATATTATGTATAGAATTATAAAATAGAATAACATATCGAAAGCAAACAGATATCAAATATAATATTATTCATATCTTAATTGCAAAATAGGTATTTATAAATCAGCACGATACGACCACCTCGTGAATTTAATTTTCAGTAATTTAACAAGTTTTGGCTTTGAAAATAGGCTGTATACTTCGATATTTGATTGATTGATTGATTAATTTTGAGGTATGCACCGCGACCTACGGTCTATTGTGCCCTCCCCTAAGTCATATCGTGTCATCTAGGCCCAGCATATTGATAAATTCCAAAATTCTGCTGGGTGCTAGTGAGGCGATACAATCCCTGTGTGGAAACATGGATCCCAGGGCCTTGATTCTGCGTCTGCAGACTGCTGTGCAGTTCATCAGCAGATGTTCGGGGGTTTCCGGCTCTATGTCGCAGAACCGGCAGTTTGCAGAAGAGGCTATGCCCATGTTAAAGAGATGCTTCTTGAGCCTGCAGTGGCCGGTGTAGAACGCTACCAGTAGCCGGAATTTGTTTCTTGGGAGATTAATTATGGCATTGAACCGCTTGAGGTCGTAACCCCCCATTAGCAGTCTGGCATGGTGCATGCCCTGGAGTTGTTGCCAGTGTATCTCCCTGTCTGATCTTTCCTCCCTGCGGAGGAACTCTTTGATGGTATGTGGACCAACCGCTAAGTATGGTTCCGGCCCTACCATTCTTGTAGAGGCTGCAGAGCTAGCTAACTCGTCGGCTAATTCGTTCCCAGCTATACCCCTATGGCCAGGCACCCAAATAAGGTGCACTCGGTTGTGCTCAGATAGGCTGTTCAGCCGTTCTATACACTCCATCACTAGGAGAGATCTGACCTCATAGGCATTGATCGCTCTTAGTGCCGACTGACTATCGCTGAGTATAGCGATACTTTTATTGCGATAGTTGCGCTGGAGATTTATTCCTACACACCGACTTATAGCATAGACCTCGGCTTGGAATATGCTAGGGAAACTTCCCATGGGAATGGAGAGTTTGGTGTTTGGCCCAGCGACCCCTGCACCAATCCCCTCCTCCGTTTTCGACCCGTCGGTGTACCACTTGATGGTGCAACCCTTTAGCAGCAGGTCTAGTGCAGAGTCCTTCCACTCAGATTTGCTGCCAAGGGTTACTTGGAACTTCCTGCTGAAGTTTATTCCTTTGGTAATGCTATCCCTTGGGAGAAGGGCTAGTGGTATTTCCTCACTTAGCTCTTTCATCTGCTGGGATGAGATTACCTTCCCTTTGCCAGCTCCTTCTGCTGTCATTTGGAGCAGAGTTCGTTTGGCTGTCTGTTTGATTACCAGGTGTAGCGGTGAAAGTTCTAGCATGACCTCCAGTGCTGCGGTCGGACACGTTCGCATTGCTCCCGACGCGCAGATGCAGGCAAGTCTTTGCAGCTTCGACAGTTTAAGTCCTACCGAAGTCTGCGATGCTTTCGAACCCCACGATACCGCTCCATACGTGATAATCGGTCTCACAATCATGGTGTACATCCACCTGATAGTCCTTGGGGAGCACCCCCAGGATTTTCCAGCAAGTCGGTTGCACACCATGAGTGCTTTTGTAGCTTTGGTTAGGGTCTGGTCCACGTGCTGATTCCATCGCAGTGTGGAATCCAGCGTGAGTCCCAGATACTTGACCGTGCTGGACATCTCAACCACTCTGCCGTCCAGGGATATATTCCTGAGGCCTGGCAGTGACCTCCGTCTGGTGAAGGGAATGATTGTAGTTTTAGCGGGGTTGATGTTTAAGCCAACCCCCCTACACCACCCCTTTGCCAGTCCCAATCCCCTCTGAACGATATCGCAGAGTGTGTCTTCAAATTTTCCCCTAGCTAAGATAACAATGTCATCCGCATATCCCTGACAGCGGATTCCATTGCTAGTCAGCCGCTCAAGGAGGTCGTCTACAACTAGGCTCCAAAGTAGGGGGGCAGTAGCACCTGCTCCACCTGTTGCAGAAAAGCTGGAAGGATTCCATCCGCACCCGGTGACTTGTATTTTTCAAAAGAGGCCAGAGCCCACTTGATGGAGTCTGCAGTGAAGAGCTGTTTAGCGACTGTCCAGTCCAAGCGTGACGGCCTTCGTTCGACCATAGGTCGAGTCTGGTCTTCATGAATCGTCTCCGGGAAATGCGTTAGTAGAAGAGCGTAGCTCTTTCTTCTGCGCTGGACGTATAGGTCCCATCAGATCGTTTGATCGCTAGTACTGTGTCCGTCTTGCCTCTAGCCAGAGCCTTATGCAGTCTAGCTGCCTCTGGGGTAGAGGAGACGCTCTCACAGAACTTCCTAAAGCTCTTCTGTTTCGCGGTCCTAAATTGCTTATTGTAGGTAGTTAGGCTGCATCTGTATTCCTCCCAGTTTCCGGTGCGCTTAGCCTTATTGAATAGCTTGCGCACCGTTTTTCTCAGTACTGAGAGTCTACTTGACCACCAGGAGCAGTTACTGCTCTTGGCGACTGTCTTTAGGGGGCAGCTGCTGTGATAGGCTTCTGTGATGGATTGGTTTAGGGCAGACAGTCTGTTCTCCAATCCAAAAGCCGTTGCGCTTATATCCAGCTGCTCCCTACTGCTAACATTTGTTTTAAGCGAGTCCCTGAAAGCGGCCCAGTCCGTGTTCCTAGGGTTACGCTTGGGAGGGAGTTGCCCGACACCCATCCCGAGCACGAATCTTATGATACGGTGATCCGACATGGAGGGTTCCGATGATACCCTCCATTGTGAGATCAGCCCCATCTCAGACTCGCTGCTGAGAGTGATGTCAAGCACCTCCCTTCTGGCACTAGTTACAAAGGTGGGTTCGCACCCCACGTTTGCTATACTTAAATTATTACTAACTATAAACTCGATAAGAGACTCACCCCGTGTGTTGCAGTCCGTGCTGCCCCATTCGATGTGGTGAGCATTCGCATCGCAGCCCATGATGAGGGGCAGTTTATTCCGCCTGCAGTGCTCTACCAGGTTGCCGATTGCCTCTGGGGGTGCTATCGGAGTCTCCCCCGGAAAATAGGCCGCTGCCACGACGAAGTCCGCTCCTTCGTCGTTCGTGGCTTGTACAGCGACCAGGTCCTGTGTAAGGAACTCTGAAATACAGAAATAATCAATATCGTTCCTAAGTACTATGCAGGTTCTGGGTCTCTCACTTGAGAGGTCCCAAATTACCTTGTTTGACTTCATTTTGAGGCCCCTGACCTCTCCTTTTCTGACCCATGGCTCCTGGATCAGTAGTATGCCCAGCCCATCGATCGGAAACCTGCTCGCGATAACCGCCGAGGCTGACGCCGCGTGGTGCAGGTTTACCTGGGCAACTTCTATTCGCGGACCCACTACAGGATCGGCTCCATGAGGAACTGGTCCTCATTCTCACCGTCCTCCGCGATGTCTCCCGCCAGGTTCGTGAGCCCCTCCAGAAGCTCCTGAGTGGAGGGTAGCGCCCCCCCTTGCTCGCCCGTCTTCTCGGAGGGGACCTTCACCAATGTCTCGGCAGTTGCCGCCTGCTTTGACGTGCTTGCGCAGGGATGAGTCGCAACCTCATCCACCTGCATTTTTTCCCCTGCATCGCACACGGTGGTCGGCTTAGGCCTAAATGGCCTCAGGACCACCGAGCTGAACTTGTAGTTCAGACGGAAGCTCACCTTCCTGACGAATTTGTACGATTCGTCATCTATGGAGAGGTTGAGCCTCCACCCTGAATCCTCCTCAGTGCTGCTGGTCACCCGCCAGGCCGATGTATTGAGGCCATTGTTCTGGTTGCGGATGAGCCCGAGAGCAAATTCGTAAGGCTTGCCTGCGTATCTGGGGAGGAATACCGTCATGCTATGCATGGGCGGAATTTCGTCCCCCTTTTTCGCGCAGAGGATGGGTCCATTCCAGCCTGCCAGCTTGGGAGCGATCTCCCGCAGCCAACAAGCCGACCTTTCATCCTTGCAGTCAACCTGCAATATGCCTCCCTTGAAATAAACCCCATGGAAGGAGGCTTTGTATCCAGCCCCCTGAATACCTCCTCCATGAGCAAATCCATACGAATGCCTTTGAGGGCATCCGCATACCTGCGCTGTCCCTCCGCTACCCGGGGGGGATTTGGGGCGGAGCGGTTGCCACCAGTCGCATGAGCCACGTTGCCCCTCTGCCGCTTGGTGTTGGGCGGCTCCTGTGGCGTCAGCTGTCCACTTTTTCGCTTCGCCGCTTGGGTGGTCGAGGGAGCTGCCCTTTCGCAACCTCGGCCTGCGGGCTGAGTTGCGTTTACTGGGCAGTGGCCTCGATTGTTGCCATTGCGTTTCCTAGTGGCCGCAGTATTTCCACCCTTTTGTTTTCCGGAAGCCGGGGAAGTGCTGTCACCTCTCACCCTGTTCCGCGCTAGGTCTTCTGCTACCTCCGGAGTTCTTCCCTCCTGGAGGTGCCTCAGGTACCACTTCATGCTGGCAGCGCTCATACCTTTTCTCCTGGGATCGTCCTGTCCTCCCGGACATCCCGTTGGTGGCAGGGGGGGTAGTCTGCCTCCCCTCTTCCTTTTCCGTTTAAGAGCCCGTTGCGACTCCTCTGCATCCGAGCAGTTGCTCCTGCTCGAGAGAGTCTCCGTGGGGTTCTCTTTTGCTTTTTCCGCAGCGGTCGCAGTCGAAATCGCCTGCTGAACGCCGCTGCACGAGGGCATGTCATCGTCGTCGTCCCTGGCATGCTCCTCGAACAGCGCTCGCTCCTCTGGCGAAAGGGCGTCCAGGAAGCTGAACTTTCGTTTAGCCCCTGATTCGCCCTTACCTGCACCGCTGCCCTTGTCGTTGCCGTTTTCCATGGTCGTTAGCTGTTGTTGTTGCCGAGATCCGTTTGATTTTGTTGTTGTATGGTTTTTATTTTTGTTGTTCATCTTGTTCGTCGACGAGGCGAGCCGTCGGGTCAGGTTTCTGTATGGGGAACAAAGAGTCCGCCGCGCCAGAGCCCCTTGACGCGGTAAGGCCACCGTTACTTCCCAATGCGGCCCGGTGTTGCAGCTCTTGGTTGTCGCACGCATACGGCCTCTGACAACCAGTGTGAGGGTGCAAGCACCGCTCGCACCAGTTGGGAGATGCCGAGGATGCCTGCGACTTAAGCCCCTGCACCACGGCAAGGTGCCTGCCATTCGCAGAGGTCGATATTAGTGCGTTGATACTAGCATTGAGCTAGACATTTATTACGGAATCTAATCTTACTATCAGTGGCAAGTATTTAATTTATGATTAGACTAGTTTGGTTGTTAGGTTATAGCGGGATTGCAGGAAATTGTAATGCTGATTAGTTTTGCAAGGATAAGGAACATGCATGAGCGTCGCTGTCTCCTTGCGGTTTACTACTGCGGTCACTGGTCGACTGCGTAAGTATGCAAGATCCTTTTTTTTTTTTTAGAAAGTTCACAAAAGGTCTAGTGAGCTTCTCCCCTCAACAAGGTTCATATGTCCACTATTTTAGGGGTTCTAGCTCGACATTGTGTAATAGGAGCTAAAGCGATAAGATTAAAAATATCATTGGATGCCTTTTGTTTTTTGAAAGAATACGAGTTAGAATTATTTTAACACCTCCTTCTTGAGTGTCACGATTTTGCGAGATCAAGGCTAAAAATACCTTCCGACATTTAGTTTAATTAGTGAGAAATAAAATACCTAAGCAGATTTGTAATCTGCTCAAGACTCTTAATTGAGATTTAATATCATATTATAGGGGATTTTCTGGTTTTTCAATGAACTATCCATCCTTAACAATACAAATCTGATCCTCAATTCTTTGGGAACAGATAGCACCTAATCTAAGCAGCTAAGCTTTCTTTAGAAAATCAAGTAGTCATTTGGTAAGATTGAAAATTTTACCGTATGCCAGTGCAAAGGTTGCTTAAAAGAGGATAAAAAAGTACCATCATCACAATACATTCTTCTCGAATGTTTCGTCTTTGCTAGATTAAGTCTAAAATAATTAAATATTAAACATTAGATATCCCGACGAAATAGCGGAATAAAGTACCTAATCATATTTAAGATAGGTTCAAGGCGCTTTGTCGAGAGTTAATATCCAAATACAAGAGCTTTTATCTTCACAAAAACTTCACTCAGCAGTCAAAGTGTAATCACCCAAAATCTTGGGGAATCAGCCATTTGACCTAGCTTAACGAAATCGAATAATAATGGTATAAGATACTAGGGAAATCAGTTGACGATTTAGACCATATGGAATATCTAATTTATATGCAACATCAGTAATACAGCTTTTCAAACACTCGCAGCTCTCTTGTCAAAAAATTTACAGTGAAAGCAACAACAAAGTTTTCGAATTGTGTTTAACACAAGATAGTAAGCGAATACCTTTTGAAAGTTGTATAATAGCTTTCCTCAAATACCACAACGGTTTGCTTCACATATTTTATACCAGTTTTACTATTGTGAATGGCTCAAATAACAAGAATTCATATTAAACATATGTGTATGTATATCAAAAGACTTTTATTTTATAGTAATCGTGAGACGAAAACAGTAAATTATGTCAAGAGAAATGGATATGTCGATCAGATCAATATGAAGACTTATTCGATATGATCTCCACATGAACGCCTAACGTCGGTCCACTGGTTATTTTCTGACAACGTGCTTGAAGCAAATTAGGCTCAACAGATTCAATCAGTTTCTTTAGTGGTACGCGGTCAATGTCCCTTTTAAAAATGAAAAAATTTACGAAAAAACTTTCAAAGGCACAAAAGTGTTCTTTCAGGGGTTGAACGTGGTCACCATCCAGTTGCTGTAATTATTTGGTGGGGAGTCTCCTGTAAAGGATGCAGAGAATTGGATCTTCCAGCAATATTCTTCCACAAAAATCTGAAGAGTCTCAAAAAACCGAGCAGCAGTTTGAGCAGCGTCGGATCATAAGTTGGTATACCTCAAGGTAAAAGTTGTATCCGGACACATTGATTCATTCTTGATTTGTATACTGGAATCAGATGGAATTTAAAATTGTTTTACTTGAAAAGTAGGCGTAATTGTAGTCCGATTTCGCAAATGTTTGCACTAGAACATAGGAATTTTAGGATATATAGCATACGTTCAAAATTTGGTCGATATCGGTCGAGTAGATCCCGATCTAAATGTGAGTAGCGTCACGCCCATCTGCTGCTCCTATAAAGCCTTTTGGTATCATCCTATATTGATATTGATTTATCGCGCTTTTAGTGTTTTTTAACAAAACCGTTATATGGGGAGAGAGCAGGGTTATAATCCGATTGCATCTATTTTTGCACTGTCGATAGAAGTTCTTAAAATATTTCTGCTAAGTGAATTTGGTTATTGTAGCCTCAGTGGTTTAGGAGATATGTACATTTAACCTATTAGAGTGCGGGGTCACGCCAATTATTTCAAAATGTTTAGCCCACAGGTGCCCTATGCTACTGCAACCTTCTGTAGATAATTACAGTTTTATATCTTAATTTAGTGATTAGTTATGGCATTTTATATGTTTTCGATTAATGGCGTTTTGTGTGCGTGGCTGTGGTCCGATTAACACCATCTACGGATGTTCCTTTTTTGCCAAGGAGCACGTATACCAAGTCATTAAGATATCTTAATTTTTACTCAAGTTATTGCTTGCACAGACGGACGGACGGACAGATAGATTTCAACTCGTCTCGTCATTCTGATCATTTGTATACCAAATGTATCCCTACATCTTACTCGATTATTTTTAGGTGATACAAACAACCTATAGCTGAAAAAACTCAATAGCAACATGTTGCAAGAGTATAAAAAGGTTTTGTACTTTGTAGCTTTTAATGTGGCTTTGTATAAGGAAAATGCTAAGCAGTGGTGCATGCCGAAGTAACAACAGTTTTGTAAGGGTTACACAAGCACTGTTCTGAGAACTAACGAAGAATGCGAAAAGCGTACATTTCCTTTGTTATATTTGGAAGCTTTCCTAATAAATAAGTTGGTGTAGCTTTAAGCTCATGCTTTATATGCTAAAAAAGCTGTTGCCCAAAAGGGTTTTATGACTCATATTGGATTCTTTCCGGAAAAGTATTTAGGACTGGGAAAATATACCATAGGTATTATAAATATATGGCTATAGAAGAAAATTTTCTATAATAAAGAAATATTGGGGGACTTATTGAAAGTGTGTCAATGCTACATCAACTGTGGTTGCTGGCCTCGATAATTCTGATTTCTTCTGCAATATAAATCAATTAATGCAGTGGGTACAATTTGTTCGATTAACAAATATACCATATATAACCAGCCAGTCTAGCCTAACTTAACCTAAATATGTATAAATTTCAATATATACATATATAGACTAAAAACACTGTACACTGCATAAGAACAGTGTGTTAATTTTATACTCCCGCAACGTGCAAAGTGAATAAGGTTAGATTTTGAATATCAAAAATATTGTAATGACCAAACTTGTCATAGAGATAGAGCGTATATTTATGGAATTTGAGTATTGCAATGCCTCAACAAGAAAAAACATTAATTTTGGTTGCATATACTACTAGATAGCTATAATACCCTTCGGATGTAAAAAAGTTTCCTTACAAATATTTGATTCTGATCGTTCAGTTTATAGGGTAGGTATATGCTATAGTGATCTGATCGAACAGTTTCTTCGGAATTTTCATTATTGTCTTAGATAATAATCTATGCCGAATTTTGTGAAGATATCAATAACGGCCACACTACTGAAGATATCAAGCTAAAATCACACCTCCTAACCATCAGCTAGCAACGTTTTTCATTACCAGTGCAATCATTTCGTAACTATTATTTCGTTACTTTCTATATTTATTAATTAAATATTATCCGAAATGAGTGCCGATGAGGACACACCACGCCTACCGAAAGCTTCCATATTCCTGAGAAACAATTCCAGCCCTGCGACAATACGTGTTCCAAGCTTCAACCAAGACAGACCAGCCCTCCCAACTAGAATCACAGTTCCGCAATCACAACGTCACGAACGAAGTGGACAAATTCGACCACACAATCCCGTTGATTGACATTTTAAGTCCACCAACCGATAAGCCATATCAACGTTTAAAGACCGCACTAATTGCTTGCTACTCAAAGTTGAGAGAAACAAAAATCCTACAACTTCTGGACGGTGAGTGTCTCGGCGACAGAACGCGCTTCCAACATCTTCGAAGTTTAGTTCCAGACGTAGAGCAACAACTCGCTCACATCGCGAAATATCTTCAGAAGATTTTGGACATCCATCAAACCACTGGACGAAGAACGTACACATAATATCAACAAAAGCAGATCGGTTTCTCTTACCATGTAAACCAGCAACACCTGCTAGTACCACAAACAGTTGGACAACCTGGTTGCAAACAAGCGGCAAAGAAAACAGAGAGACGTTAGCGGCGGAAAGCGCCTCTCTTCCACCATCGTACCGCCTCTTCATCACGGACCGCAACTTACACACGCAGTTTCTAGTGCACACAGGTTCCGAAGTTTCAGTTTACCCTCACAGACGAGCAACAAATACGAAAGTGGCGACCGGCTACGAACTCATCGCAGTTAACGGAACACCGGTTAATATTTACGGTGTCGTAACAATTATTTTAAATATCGGCCTTCGCAGAGCGCTAACATGTCGCTTCATACTGGGCGATGTATCCAACCAATCATTGGTGCCGATTTACGCTTACATTACGGCATCCTCGTCGATCTCGAAAATCAACGACTCATCGACGAAACCACTTGACCACAACAACCAGAAGCGTTTTGGGTTTGGCAGCTGCTTGCCGAATACCCTAAGATTACACGTCCCGATGGTGAACGC